TATGTCAACCAGGCAGATAACCCTTGCTGTTCACTCTAATCCTCAAATATTAGACAATTTTACTTTTTTTAAAAAAACATATTGGTGTAACTACATAAGGTGTCCTACATAAATATAGTAAATCAATGTATTTCTAGACTATTAATTACAAAAAATCTGAGTTATATCTCTCTGTATAGATGGGTTTCTTATATGCAATAATAATTGGGTGCATACACTAGGCTTGTGCCGGTTTGAAAATTTTCCAACCGGTTTGATTTAAAGCCAAATAGCTAACTGAACCGATATATTGAATTATATACCTAATTTTACCACTGGGGGTTGCATTTGAGCTATGTTTCCCAATAAAAGCCCATTATAGGTGTAATGCGCTTCCAATCCACTAGGTGGCAGTAATGCGGTATTAACCGCCAATACACACAAGGTTACACAAGAAGAAGAAGACGCAGAAGGACACCAAGGATTCTTCCTCCGACTCCGCTCTCAGTGGAGACACGGCGGTTGAGAGGGCCGAGCGAGAGGACGTTCCTGTAGTAGATACAGCCCCCCAAATAATACCAGGAACTTCTTCAGTGGAAACGGGTTACTAGGGCAACAAACTGAATGACTGCTGACTCCTTAGCACTTTTCCCTGCCCCCAATGAAATTTGATCTCTCGCAGCAGACAGCTAAGCGGAGTGGAGTTGCGGAGTCCCTCTGAGGCCTCTGAGACAAACTAAACAAAACGTAGGCTCCTCCACTTCATTTATAAACAAACATAAACCTTATTAATTTGTCATAATGCATGTTACAATGCAAGATAAGTTGAATATAGTCCCTTGACACGCCGCCGATGTGAAAAGCTTTTTTATTTTTTTTCCTCCTCCGGTTTATCCGGTTGACGTAAATTAAACCAGGTGGAGCTCTTAAACTGGACCGAACCGGTTAAACCGGAAATCGGCACAAGCCTAGCATGCACATCTAATGGGAAAAACTGCTTTGGTTCCAGATCACATAATTATAGTCAACCATTGTATTCCGTAGATTTTACAATCTTTATAAATTCTTGTTGACTCGATAACAAAGTGCCTTTTCAGAGTTGGATCTGTTGTCTTTAATTTGCATATAAATACATCATTATGGAAATTGTTAGCTAACAATAGCTGAATATTAGTAGCCCATAGTTATCAGGTCTCTCAGTGAAATTTGATATGTTATTCAAATAAATGTTGAGCTAAAAGGAGCTAGCAGAATCACAAAAACTTAACTATGGCTGATATGTGCAGTTAATTTTGCTCAGCTTACCTGGCATTGGTTGTTGAGCCTGTCCATCCTCTCCTTATTTGACAATGGCAACATTTACATTACATGCTCACTACTATTCCACTATTGTTCCAAATATGATAATATTCTGAATCTGATGTTGGTCATGTAAATAACATATTCTGTTTGGATATTCATAATTAGGCTGATTAAGATGTGGGATATGCTGGTATTATTTAGGGCTGTTGTCTCCTGGTCGATTATTTGGTCGATATGCTCTCATCCGACCAAATTCTCATTGGTTGAATAATCGCCGTGTGACTTTCATAAGGAGAAAAGTGCTACATCAATAGCTTTCTAGGATTAATCCATTATTTCCTGCGGTGGGGTTGTTTTCAAAACATCCCTTTGTTTACACAATGATGAACTCACCCCACGCAGACCTCCTGTCTGTTTCTGTATACTGACACCATTTTCCTCAGTGGAAACAAAGCTTGTACTTGTATTTCACAGATAAGAAACAATAAATTGTGAAGACAGTAAAGCCTCCACTAAAATAGCATTTTAAGTCTTGTGTGTGACATATCCTTTAGGGAAAATACTTCATATGAACAGAGGAAATCCCCACTTGTCGCTAGGCTAATTTATACAATATAAAATGCCGTTAGCATGTTGTATTTGTTTGGAAAACGTGTTTAGTGTGACAGCTGTTGGCGTATCTTGTGAGTTGTAATGGAGCTAATTTATGTGCCGTTACCTTTGTTAAATGTTGCTGTTGTCCCTGGTTTTATATGAGAAGAGGGAAAGATCGTAGCTAGGCTAATTTACACAATGTAAAATGCCATAGACTTGTGTTAATAATATTAGCATGTTGTATTGGTGGGGGAAACATGTCCAGATAAAGCGAGTGTTTGTCTGTCAATGCTGCAATTTATAGTGAAGCCAATTTGGGTACTTGTGTTTGAAATTGTCTCTATTAAGCCATATTTAATGTGTGTTTAATGTGTGTTTTGAATCAACTACACTTTACAGCACTTAACAGAGTCCTCCACCGCTGACTAGCGTTTTGGAGGTGTAACTGCTGAGTGACACAGACACACCACTGCAGTAGTAAAAATAACGTTCAGATTTTTTTCCCCCACGACTAATCGATTAGTTGAAGATTCTGTACCACTTCAGTCGACCAAGATTTACTTTGGTTGACTACAGCCCTAGTATTATTCAGCTTTTAGAAGCATTCTTTGGACATGTAGACAGCACATTCAGAATATTTGTTTCAGTTGGGGTTCTACCATAGTGGCCTCTTGCCTGTTTACAGTTTGCTCTGTGCGTGTCATGGATATGCTGTACACAAACCAACCAACCACCACTTTGAAGGCTGTGGGATAGAGATATATGCCCAAAAGAAAAACCCACATTTCTGATCGGGAGGAGAAACACACCTACTTTTAAACATTACAACAGACTTGGATATCAACAGCTTTTTGACCATGTTCACATGTTCCAACAAGTCTGCCAGCAGTAGGAAACTTTTAAAAAAAAATCCTATTTTGATGCAAAGAAGCAAAATGACAAATGGCTCCGGCTGTTCCACTGTTCAATATTTTGACGTGATACATGTGCATGTTAGGGTGCGTTAATCAGAGTATGCATGGCTGCATGTGAAGAGGATCCTCAGTGGAATATTCATTCTTATTAGTCATGCAAACAACTTAGTAGGAATATTGTGTTTTTCAGACGGCGAGCAAAATCCAGAATAATTTATGCATGTAAACGTACTCATTATCAGGAGCATGACTGTAACATTAGTGTCACTAAGCTAACTACATCAAGTAACAATGTTAGTGACAAGGCTACTTGACTTCACTTTTATCAGCTGTTGTAAACATACTGTACAAGACATTAGACATGTGACAGCTAGCTAGCAACGTCTAGGACAATATGGAAATGTCTGGCAGTGATTACAGTGGAAGCATAGGCAGTGCGCCAAGACCATCGTAACCATCGGGACCCCAGTCCACCCTTTGAATGACCTGGATCCATAATCTCCTGCTGTTCTTAGGACAGAGGTGGGATTCCCCTTTGAATATTAAACATTTTCCATCCATTTTTTCTGCGGTCGGTGCAGTATACTGCACAACTCCTTGTCATCTCTGCTTTGGTGCTTCGCTCTGCTAAAAATGGTGTGAAAATGACCAATTTCTGCTCCCTAGTTGCGTGCACATCTCTGTGATGATGTTGCACAGAAACCTGTCTATTATGTATTAAAATGGCCCGCTATTAACTTCCTGGAACTCTCTGTCTACGTGAATTATGTGTCCATCAAGCATTTTAACTTCCCTTGATGTGATTCTTTTTAAACAGCTGTGCCATCACCCAGCTGCAGCTGGAGTCCTTTATTGTTGCAGCAAGCCAGCTGGGAATGTCGTGGTCATTTCACTCCATCTAAAATGCTAAAGTCAGTGTACAGGACAGATCAGTTTGTGATGATGAGCTATTCTATTATTGTTGTATACGAAGCAAGTGTAATTACGTAAGCTGTATTGGATTTCATACTCTGTAGTATGGTTTGTTTCACACATTGCTATAGTAACACATTTAATTAGCTGACATAGCCATTTCAAAATGATACAAGAGCACACACATAGAAGGAAATCACATAATATACTTTATGTGCTTTTAATGCAACGTATGCAACTGCTAGTAATGTAGACCTATATATGTCAATGATATTTTCAGAAACACTGAACAGAATACCTATCTCAAGGCAATTGAATCGAACGCAGCTGGACTTGGTTTTGTCTTAGAAGACGTTTCACCTCTTATCCAAGAGGCTTCATCAGTTCATGCTTGTCTGACTAGGCTGGAACTAGTCTGACAAACTGGTGTGGAAGCACCCAGGTATTTAACCTCTGGGGAGGTCTTCACAAGGCCAATGATGTCACTGGTTCGTTAGTGCTCCAATGGTGTGTCAACGACAGTCGTTGAAACTCCTGCTGCAACGGTTGTCACTGGAGTCGTTAGAGTCACATGAGGCCATTTGTGAACGGCTGTTGTTTTTAGAGGTTAAGTTGTTAAGCCTCCTGGGCAAGGATGAAAGGACAGCATTATAGGTGGGGGATAGGTGGTGTCGCAGACCTCCTCCCCTACTGAGAGATGGCTTTTCCAATTTCACATAGATGGCTTCTTTTACACCTCTTTCAAACCATCGGTCTTCCCTGTCCAATATGTGCACATTGCTGTCTTCGAAGGAGTGTACTTTCTCCTTGAGGTGTAGATAGACAGCTGAGTCTTGCCCTGATGAGTTAGCCCTTCTATGTTGGGCCATGCGTTTGTTTAGTGGTTGTTTTGTTTCACCAATGTACAAGTCTGGGCATTCCTCACTGCATTGGACAGCGTACACTAGGTTGCTCTACAAAACCAAGTCTAGTTGCGTTCAATTCAATTGCCTTGAGATGACTATGACCTGGATGAATGCGAATATCCACAGGCAACAGAATACCTAGTTTTAATTTTTCTTTAAATTTTTTAATTTCATTTTACATACTTTATTAATTCCCGAGGGGAAATTCAATTTTTCACTCTGTTGTCAATTACACACAGGTCCGAACACACACACATGCACAAACAGGACCTATACATGCACTAAGTGGAGAGATGTCAGAATGGGGCTGCCCATGACAGGTGCTCCGAGTGGTGGGGGGTTCGGTGCCTTGCTCAAGGGCACCTCGGCAGTGCCCAGTAGGTGAACTGGCACCTCTCCAGCTACCACCTACTCATTTAACAAATGAGTCAAACATTAGAGCAGACAAGGTCATTTGACTCAGTGGCATTTAGATCAATGTTGGCTTTAGACTTCTTTTTGGCCAGCTTTCCTTGTCTGGCATCAGACTTGAGATAGTGCTCCTTGTTGTGGATGACCTGAATGTACTGGTCAGTGCTGCTGTTCTGCTGGTCACTGCTGGAGGCCAGGGAGGCTGAGTCTGACTCGGTCAGGGGTGTCTCAAGCTTCTGCCTAGCCTTGGGTTTCACATAAGACTCCATGTGCCTGATTCTGACTGGGGACTGACAGTGTCTTCCTGGGGAAGGGATGTGACGCCTGGTTCGCACAAGAAGAGAGTCTGCACCTCTGACATTGGCTAAGGGCTGGGAGTGTGACTCTAAACCTCCCCAATCTGTTTCTCCTTCACCATCATCCTCTTCTTGCGCTCCATATCTTCTTCGAGCAGTGTGGCCGCCTTTAGTCATGGAAATGTGGCTCTCTACATGCTCACCGATATAGAAGTGTGCTGGTTGGTGGAGGTCAGAGAGGGAACGGGGCCGATGAGCCTTTCCCAAAAACATCCTTCCTTGACCTTTTCCATCTTCCTCCTCCTCTTCATCTTCACTCAGATGCTGCGTTGATTGGTGGGACCGGTGAGGATTTGGTTGGTGTTGAGCGTTGCGGGGTGTGTAGCGTTTAATGTTGCGTGGGTACAGCTCCAGGATCTCTGCAGGCTCCTCCATGAGATAATGGCGTGGGATCCGTGTGGCTGAGCGACGCAGCTTCTTCCTGGGCTCATGCTCATTGACAATCACATAACGTGTGGTGTGACCGCGCCGTCCTCCATAACTCTGTGCAGTGATGATCCCAGCAGCCTCCACTGGATGTATGGAACGTATGGTCTTCCTGTACAGGGGGTCAGAGTGGATGCTGTCAGAATAGAGTGCTGGGGGATTATATGGTATGTGGTGGTAGGACTTGGACCTTCAGTTACCACCGGGGCTACCAAGAAAGGATAGGGGCCTGTTATAAGAAAGGACAGTTATTACTATTATTATTTCATATTGTTGTTGGTATGTTATCATAGCATTATGCTATAAAAGGCATGAACTTGAAATACATGCAGTGCGTTGCCACATAACAGTCTCATCATTTTGACAAAACTAAAGGAGTGATGTGATGGATAATTGAGCAGGGTTTAAAGACTTAAATACGGAGAGATTTTTGTCTTTTTGTTGCAATCATATAAAACTGTTTTGAGAGCATATTTCCTGAACTGCAATCAAAAATCAAGTTTGTAAGTAAAAACGTATGATCATTTTACCTATAAATCAGTCCTCTTTGCTTGCAAGTTAAAAACATTTGCTTGCACATCAGTCCTCTTGCAAGTTTTGCTTGCAAGTTCAACTGCACTTAATGGGTGGGGCCTACGCTGATGGATGAGAGAAGAGTTTCTATTGGTGGGTTTGATGTGGCTCCATACAGAGCGGGCTACACCCACGATTCCCTCTCTCCCACTGGAAATGCTTGACAGTCGGTATTACTGCTACACCCCAGAGCACCGACGGTACTGACCATTACACCATCGAATAGTTCTGCCCTGGCTAAACAAAAGCAATCTACATGCACCAGTTCAAATAAAACATTCTTGCTATTATTAGGCCTAGTTCCCACGGACCCGTGTACTTCTGAAACCGTGTTCTATGCGATTTGGCTGTTTGGCCACATGCAACCGCACTTTTGGGCCCCCGAAACCACGTTTCTTTGAAACCGGAGTCCAGGGTGAAGTTTTTGGAAGACTCCGGTGCCAGCGGTTGCGTGTAGATAGGATAACCGCGGTATTTTATTACCCGTCTCCATTGTTTGACGTCAGAGCGACGGTAAATAGCTCTTTTCTAAAAGTTTACTAACTACTAAAGTCCCACATCCTGTGTTAAATACAGTGTATCTTAACTATATTTACAATGAAGCTTGATTCTGCACTCTGCTCGTAGCACGTATGTGAATGTTTACCGTTGCTATGGCAACAAGTGACAGCTTAGTGTTAGTTAACTTAGCTCAATCGTCCGACAAACAACAACCCATAAAATTATAATTCAACATATTTAAACAAAATCAACAACAGCTACCAACAGTTACAGTCCTTACAACCTTAGCTAATGTGTTGTCACAGGTTAAATTGTCAAAATTAAAGTAATAACAGCTTAAATCCCTGAGGAACTACACTAGCATTAGTGACGGTTGCATCCACTCGTATGCAGTTACCTTACTTTACAGTTCCCTCAAACAATATAACAAAGCACAATACAAACTATATAATGTTGGGATTCACAGGACCACAGATGATTTATCATTTGGTAAAATCATCACTGGACAATTTAAAGGCTTTTTCCTCTGCATGCTCTTTGTCTTCAAACAAAGAAAGCTAGGTGACACCCACCTCCACAGGAGGTCTCACCTCACACCTCAGTGAGACACAAGTCTCACAACTCGATTGGACAAGACTTTTACAGGGACATGTGACTCTGTGATGTCACAGGCATCTGTACAAGGTCTGCTCCTTCCAAGCCTTCTTCCTCTTCTTGCCCTGGAACTTCAGCAGCTCCCACCTTTTTCCAGCTGGGTCTGGAACAGCAGAGGCCCAAACCCCTGCTCCAGAGGCCCAAACCACAAAAGGGAGAGCAACTGATCACAGACTCTGGCAAACACAAGGTTTTGCAACTAGCTTTCCAGCAACAAGGAACTAAGTGAGTTAGCACCCAGCGTCTAACTCTGCAAGGACCCCAAGCGACCAGCTTCCTCGGATCAGAACCTTTGGAACAAAGAACTCAACCAAGACTGCACCTGGGACCATCTTCCCAGCCTTCTTCTGCCGGCTAAACAGCAGCACACTGCCAAGTGACTCTTTCTTCCATCCATTCAAGGATCGGTAATGTAACAACTGGGCATAGCTTATCACAGCTTTACAGGATAAGCAAGACTGTTTAACTTGTTGTACGTGATTTGATGCTGTTTACTGAGTTGTTGTTGTGATAGATTGCAGTTAGGTCATTGATTAGTTGGCTTAGTTGGTGTTTAGTTTGCTAATACTGTTCACAAACAGATTCTTGCATGCAACTAAACAATCTCTGCACTAATCCAGACTGTTTGCAACACACGTCACATTGACATAGACTCATTAACAAACAGGCTTTCAACAGCGCTACCCCAACCAGGCATCTCTAAGTTCCCGCTTCTTTTCCTTTGTCTTTGTCCTGACCACACGGTCAGACAAACACCTCCCCCGAAAGTGAAGCAGCCTTGATTCGGCCATTTTGGTAGTTCTCTGTTGTCAGCCATTTTGTTTTGTAGGACAAACAGCTCCTTGATCACCACACCCGCCTTTGTCTTTCTCTTCTTTCTCTCTCTCTCTCTCTCTCACACACACACACACACACACACACACACACATACACACCATGCTTGTATATAGTAAGTTAGAACTGGTGTGCTTTGGTTTGCTTTGCTAGTTTGTGAATAAATATAATTCTTTGGAATCATGCCTGCTGTCTGTTTAATGTTGCACAAGAGTGAATGAATAGTCAACCTCTGCTGCGTCAAGAACTCTGAAATCCTTCAGGCGTTACTGTTAATTTTGATTGTTGTCATTAATTTAATTATTAATCAAACTCCAAATTAATAGTTTAGCGTATTTTATGAGACTGATATCTTTAACTGGCTATCATTTTTCCCTTTGCAGGAATGGTGCCCCACGAGGTGATTTAATGTTAATTAAGTCACATAATTTAACATAATTATTAATTATTAACAATAATTATTAATTATTTCTGATAGCCAATTAAATCCCAACATATTTGGTGCCTCCGTGTGAAGCCTGTTGTGTTGACCCCAACATTTATTGTGCTGCAGAGTGAGGTAAATATATGTTGAGTCCCAACAATAAACAAATTATTTATTAAGGGTACACTACTGATAACATCTGAAGGTGCTTAAGTGACATTTACCCACCTGAAAGAATAAATGAAAACGGTGATTTTGCTGGTCTTCAGTAGCTTTACTCTAGGTGTAACTGCCAACTGCAGAACGCAGCACAAACCAACCGTTTACATACCCAGATTTGCTCTCATGCCTTTACTCAAATCAGTTATGCTTTTAATTGAATGGGGGGTATCTGTATGGTATCTGTAAAGATACAAAATCGATATCATATGCATAAAATAATGTCACAATTGAGTGGCCAGATACACGTAAATACCCTATATGTCACACTAACTTTATTTGTGACCGTGCTATCTGCTGTCTTTGGATGGCATATCCAGCTGTTTGACCTAACGACCAACGAAGGAGGCTGCTCTTGTTGTTAGCTACCCCAACTACACTACCATGAAAGCAGTGATGGGCCTGCCAACGGAGGTTCTGGATCCGGCCGGGTTGGACCTTCATTGGCAGGCCCGTCGCTGCTTTCGTGGTAGTGTAGTTGGTCGTTCAGGCACCTCTGCTGTTGAATTAGGTTGCGCTATTTTTGTGGATCGGGTTGTTTTTATTTTCCGCACTTCCGTATTCCGGTATTGACTGTGACATCTGATTGGTTAAAATGGCTTTCTGTTAGAAGTTACATCGCCACCTACTGCTTTGGCATGTGTATTACATCACTTGGTAGCGGATTTTGCGGTTTTGTGTGGATATCATATGTTTTTATCACACCACTCGTGTGGACGAATTTTTTTGGAAACCAGAGCCTGAAGAACTTCGGTTTCAGAACTGATTTTCGCCACAGCTCCCACACTGAATTCCCTGTGAACTACAAAACTCCCATCAAGCGTACTAGGCTGATGAGTAGAATTTAAGAAACAGGCTAAATGACATGATGTTGCACACGTAAGTGGGGCTGTATGAGGTACTTATCTGTAGTTAGTGTATCACCATCAGTAGATGGCTATCAGTGTGCTCCCTGTTTACAGAAACAGATGGGACTAACACCCTAAAAACTCAGCATTAAATTTATGTGAAAGGAGGTCTACACCAAAACATATTTTAGCCATGTAAATAGAGGCCCACTAAATTGATCAGTATCTATTGTGGCTGACTGACGATCACTATAAAACCGGCACGCCGCAGGAGGCTAAGCACGGGAGATAACTTTGACGTGCCCACAAACTGATTCACATTCTCTCCTTTACTCGGTTGATTTCTCTTTAATGCCATATCACAAAGCCCTGCATCTGATACATACGCTAGTGCAAGGTATCATAAGAATACAAGTAACACGATTAACAATGTGATGTTTTAAGCGTTAGCGGTCAACAGAAAGTTTCCTTCCCGACTCACCCTCCTTCATGGACGAAAACTCAGAACTGACAACAGGTGAGCATAATCATCTGCAATCACAGAGGGCCCCGCACAGTGACACGCCCATCACCCAAGCACCAATGGCATGTACTCACCCACATCACATAGACATCCAGACTTACCAACATGGCAAACACACATATGGCTCCTACAGTATCAGTCTGAGTGGACGCTATGTTGAGTATATTTTCACTGCTTTATCTTACCTTCAGACAGCCCTTTTCTTTGGCACTACATTTTCTCAAGCCTTAAACTTCTGTATTGTACGCACTGTGTTACTCTGCAGCTCAGCACTCTGGGTCAGACTGTCTGTGGTATATGGAAGACAGGACAAATACTAGAAAGTAAAACTAAGTGATTATTACTGTGATGAGGAGGATACCTTTATGAACCAGAGTATAGAGAGGAAGAATTTCTCTATACTCTATAGGGAGACTGAACAGGCTGAAAAAGACAGACAGAGGGGAAAATTCCATGGAAACTGAAGGCCTAGAGTGAGCAGAAGCTTACTGTGAGCTGTAAATGGTCATGGTCATGGTCCCAGAGAGCTATTGCTG